TGGGGTGCTGAACCTACGTATCAGTTATATATTTAGACATCATTTGGCAATTATGATGAAAAATATAGGTGTATTCATATCTACATCGGGTACACTATGAAGGTATACACTTAGACTTAAACGCGTAGAGCAGAAAGATGATTTATATATATGAGATGAGATGTATTCATATTAATATATTCGGAATATTAATATTATTCGGAATGTTAATAATTACATTTGATAGATAATCTTCGAGTTAAAAGAAATTACAAAATTTGACTTTTTTAGCTAATTTTAAAAATTAATTCTACATTATATAAACTATCACATTTTATTCTAATACAGATTATTTAAAAATAATATATTAAACATTTTTTTTTTAAATAAGTTGATCATTTGACAGTTCACCGCGGATAGTTCACTGTAGTTGGCCTCTTAAAGAACATTACTTATTTAAGAATACACTCTATCTTTTTCAAGAAGGAAAAATTTGAATAATTTTTTTCCAAAAAAAAAATTAAAAATAATTTATGCAATAACTGTTACAAATTTAACATCATAGGACTAAATATAGAATTAAAGTGTAAATTATTTATTTTGCATAAAAAACAAAAGTATGTATTTTTTATTTTCTCCAAGATCGCAATCTTTTTAATCAATCGTCGTTATCTGATCAATTATCATGGTACAATGAGTGACCTCTTCGAAGAAGAGCTTAAGAGGGATGAAAAAGTCCGAAGAGTGATGCTCGCGCCTCTGCGCGGGATATCCACCCTCGCGTACACACATTCCAGCATCATGCTTATCCTAATAATGACGTATGTCATGCCACCGTTCGTCGTTATCATCCGCGGCATTTTCCATTTATATTTGCCTACGGACTACACTCTACCATACAGCAGAGGATACGGGTACTTTTGGACTGTCCCAAACAATTTCCTACGGCATTTTCATCTGCTTTATGAATGGTGGGTGATAATAACGCAAGCTGTCACCAATGCAAGCGTGGACAGTGCTTTCGGTTTCTATGTCTACCTGCTGGCCTCGACGATGCGTGCCATGACCTTCAGACTTACGAATCCACTACCCAACGACAAGTACTCCGACGTGCTGAGGGTGTGCGTGACGAAGCATCTGAAGCTAATGCAATGCCGCGACATGCTGAAGCGAATTTATAGCGTGATAATCCTCTGGCACATCGTCACCAACGCCGTACTTCTTTGTGCGGTGATATACGAGGCGATGCAAGTACGTCGATGCGAAAGTTAACTTCCAATTCTGTTTAATAGACTTCTTTTGACCAAATCCCAAATGCCGAATATTGAAACAATCAATTGGTCTAACAACACATACTAGATTTCATTTAATTCTTAAACAAAAATAATAATAAAAACGAAGTCAAAATTTGTCACATTTCTTGATACTGGGTTCGACGGAGAACAGAATTTACAAATGGTTGCTCTATATTAATACAATATTCTCAATAAAGATTAAATTAATTATTTTTTTCAAGTGATTTTTTTCAGCAAAGTATCCGTCAATTAAATATCCGTCCATTAAAATAACAAAGTTTTGATATATTTTTATTTAGCAACTTCAACAATTTTAAGAGAGTTTATTCATTTTTATAACAATTATTTTTTTATATTTTTATCCATTATGTTGAATTCGCTGTTTTGAGTTTTGAGATAGAGACATCATATTTGAATTCAGTGTTCCCGAAATCTTAGCGTAATCATTTTTATAAAAATTCAATTTTTATCCAATTTTTCAAAATTTTGATCTGTCATTTTGAATTTTGAAATTCTGATATTATATTCCGATTCAACGACCTCAAAAACTGTAAAACACCAAATTTCATACAAATCGTAAGAAGGTAAATCAGTTTTTTTAGATGTGCATATATTCTATGCATATACTAGACACATCTTTTTTCTACGCATTTGTGCTATATATAGTATAAAGGGATTAAAGCGAGAATAGAAGAAAGAATTTATCGTGTATTTATTCTTATATACCAAAGTTATCGGATGTAAATTCGTACATATAAAGATTTCAAGATTTTTTTATATAAATTTCAATTACTTGAAGTATATTCGCATATCCAATCGCATTTTCCAATATCTTTCATTACATTTGAAATACCGAACAAAAATACTGATTCCAGCATTGTGTGCATAAATTTTCAACCATGTTAATGTGATATCATAATGCATAAATATTCGCTAACATATTATTAATCGTCAAACATTTGCTATAGCTTCCAGAAATCAGCATCGGTATAGCATTTCATTTTATGTCATATTCTGTGGTAAAGTTGCTCCAAACATTTATATACGCCTGGTATGGTACTATCATCACAAATGCCGTGAGTTTTAATTTACCGTTTACGATTTAATATTTCAAAATATGATATATATGTTTTCACAACACATACACTTACACACAAACACACAAATTCAAAAATATTTATTTTATATACGTATATACTTAGGATGAAGACTTCCGAAATGGGATATACTTTAGCGAGTGGCATAATTCTAGTCTCGATCGTCACATCAGAACAAACATTCTTCTGATGATGATGCAAAAACCAATGACTATTAAAGTGTTTTCCGTTTCTATTGATGTTGTCATCTTTACTAATGTAAGTGTCTGTATTACAATAGCTTTCACGACTTTCAAATCCCTCCACCCCCTATTGCTTTAAAGCTACTTTCTTTTCATTTTTATAAAAACAGAAATATTAACATTAAAAAGTAACAAAATAGATATGTAAAATTTATAAATTCGACTCGTGCAAAAATGTTAATTTAAACTTAAATTGTTGTTAAATGTCTTTTAAACTTAAATTTAAAATTATAAAATTCAGTGTAGAGGAAAAAGTAGAGAATATTAGGATAATGATTCAGGAAATTGTAAATTTTTAATCAGTTCGATCAGGAATTTAGTTTCATAAAGTATCGCCAAATTTCTGGCAACTTCTTATTTGCAAAAATTGACTAATAATTTATTATAATGAATGATATTTAACCTCTTTATACATTAATGTAATAATTATCATTTTAATTGCCAGCTTGTGAATACTACAATGTCCTACTTATTTTTATTGGAATCTATCAGCGATAAAAATGGATGAAGGTATCATACAACTCGTTTTCTATTGGTAAATTTGTAATATTATTGTAATATTAAGGAAATATACAGTTAAGGAAATGCAATCAAGACATAAGATATTTTTTAATAATATTAAAAATATTATTGTACATTTACTTCCATAAAATAACTTTAGTTTTCGTCTAGAGTTAGGATAAAAATTTATTTAGTCATAAAAAATTACGCGATATTTATGCATTCTAATGTTAAAAAAGTTTTGTCAATTTTTTTTTCTTTTAAAAACTTTATTAAAAAAATTTTTTTGATTAAATATTTAAATACCGATTGTAAATTTAAGTATGATACGTGCATACAGCATTAACTAATTACGTATGTACGCTCTTAATTAAATTTTTCTTTTTTACTATTACTGGACTACTAGACTACTGGACTATGACCATACCTTATTTATAACTGAGATGTGATGAAAGATATTTTTTTTCATTATTACAATTATATTAAACATAATTATTAAAATAAAATAAACTTTTAAAACTCAGTATTGACAAGAAATTGCAAATAAACTTGAACACATATGGAAGAGGACCAAAAAAATCGTTCATTCATAGTAATATACATTTGCATTTCGTAATTTTATCTTTAATGAGATCATTATCACTAAATTATCACATTATTTGTAAAACATTATCAAAATTTATATTGATTTAATTCACGAGAATATTATATTTATTTGTTAAACTTTAAATAAAACTGTTTGACAAATTAATTCAAACATTCGTAGATACAAGATAATATTATAAAAATATAAGTTTTCATTATTAAAAAAAAGAAGATATCAATCGTGGATATATGCAAAATCGAATATGTAATTTCTGTACTGATGACTGCTCATCACGCCGAATTATTAAATATTTGTAAACATTAAATCTCTTTCTTTTCTTGCACATACCTAACTGTCCTACTCCGACAGTACAATCGACAAGTAGAATAATTTTATCTTGAAAATATTAAACATTGAGGATTGAACGGAAGATCGAATAAGCAACCCTTCTTGTCTTAACAATTACTCATCACTAAAATATCAAAATATCCCAAGCTTTGAACTTCTTCCCTTGCTTGCACGTATTCGACTGCGCTGTCTCGACGCTACCATCGGTAATATCTGCACCTTACTTTATTTTTCATCAAAAGGAATCTAAGTGAATATATTTAGATTCATGTAGGATTCCTTTTTCTTACTTTGAAATAGATATATCGTGATAAGAAAAGACATCTCAGATTAATCCTGATGTGACTTACGCCACAACGCACAAATACTTGGTGCGCCTTGCCATTCTCTTTGAAATATAATTTTTCTTACTTACTATACTATACTATACTATAGTCCGTCTATAATTTCAACACACTTGTACAGCAACCCGTTTTGATCGAATCTTCGATAAAAGGATACGTTAAACTATAGGTGGACATTAATATTTCAAGATCTTTGCGAAACATATTGCAGGAATAACAGCGAATAAAGAAGACGTACGTGCTATCAACACAAATCGCAATCATTTTACAATTTTAACATTTTAACTTTCGAGATAGAAGATAAAATATCTTTTTCTGTCATTATTTCTAATCTTGGCGTATTGAAAGCATCAGAAAGATGGACAGCTATACATAGAAATATTCAGTTAGATTTCTAACTACAAAGTTGTCTGATAGCAAATATTTCTCTTGGACCTTTGGTTAAATAACAAAATTTATAGAAAAAACTGTGATAAGAAAATTCCGTTTAAATGTAAGCATTTTCTCAACATCCTTATTTAAAGTATGGTGTTCTTTGAAAGAACATTAAACATTATTTCCATACTTATTCAATTTCTTTAAAGATTATTATAACATTATTCCGCATATACATAAATGTAAGAGTAAGTATATTATAATATTATTTTGCGAATTTTTATTATGAGCTTGGAATTAATAAGTTGTTTTAATTACAGTTTTAATTTTAATAATACTGATTCAACAATTTAATAATGAATACTAATAAAAATGTTTGTTTATTTTTTATTGTTACTACTAAAGTAGAAAAAGTTCAGAGTTTAAAAAATATTAAAATTTTGTTCTTTGAGTATAGATAAAAATATAGAAAAAAACAAAAATAAATCAGTTAGAAATATTTACATACATTTCCATATTTTAAAGAATTCATATTTCCCAGTTCGGATACATTACATTTAAGATTTCGTAAAGCTGACCGATGCTGAAATCAACATGATTGATAAACAGTTGAAAGCGTATTATAGATATCAGCGCTTTCTTCGGGTGTTACTCTTAATTTGTGGCTGTTGGCACGTTCCCACGAAATCAGGCAAATCAACATATTACTGGTCTATCTGCATACTTTCGATGTTATTTGCATATATGATACTGAACATACGTATCAGTTATATGTATAAACATCATTTGGCAATTATGATGAAAAGTATAGGTGTATTATTAACTACAACGGGTACTCTACTGAAGGTACACACTTGAACGCGTCGACCAGAATGATGATTCATATATATATATATATATATATGTGAGATTATATATATTGATATTAATATATATTAATATATGTATTGATATTGATATTAATATGTTCGGAATATTAATACTATTTGGAATAATTATATTTGGTTGATAATCTTCGAGTCAAGAAAAATTACGAAACTTGATTTCTTAGCTAATTTTAAAAATTGATTCTGCGTTATATAAACTACTACATTTTATTTTAATCAAATATAGATTATTTAAAAATAATATATTAAACGCTTTTTTTAAAAATAAATTGATTATTTGATAGTCGGCCGCGTGGAGTTGGCCTTTTAAAGAATGTTGTTCAAAAATACATCCTATTGTTTTCGAAAAGAAAGATTCGTACAATTTGCTTTTTACAAAAAAAAAAAAAATAAAAATTGATGCAATAAGTATTACAAATTTAATATCGTAGAACTGATATAGAATAATAAAATATAATAAAATATAGAATTATAATGTAGAAATACAGAATTATAGTGTAAGTTACTCATATTGCACTCAAAGAAACAAAAATATGTATTTTTTTATTTCCTACAAGATCGCATGCTTTTTAATCAATCGCCGTTCCCTGATCAATTATCACCGTACAATGAGTGATCTCTTCGAAGAAGAGCTTAAAAGGAATGAAAAAGTCCGAACAGTGATGCTCGCGCCTCTGCGCGGAATTTCCATCCTCGCGTATACATATTCCGGCATTATACTTATCGTAGTTGTGACGTACCTGATGCCATCGTTCGTCATTATCATCCGCGGCATGTTTCATTTATATTTATCTACAAACTATACTCTACCATATAGCAGAGGATACGGATACTTTTGGACTGTTCCCAACAATTTCCTACGGCATTTTCATCTACTTTTCGAATGGTGGGCGATAATAACGCACGGTGTCACCAATGCCAGTATAGATTGTGCTTTCGGTTTTTATATCTACCTGCTGGCCTCGACGATGCGTGCCATGACCTTCAGACTCACGAATCCATTAGCTACTGAGAAGTACTCCGACGTGCTGAGGATATGTGTGGCGAAGCACCAGAAGCTAATTCAATACCGCGACACGCTGAAGCGAATTTATAGCGTGATAATCCTCTGGCACATCGTCACCAACGCCGTACTCCTTTGTGCGCTGATATACGAGGCGTTGCAAGTACGTCGTTGCAAAAGTTAACTTCCAATTCTGTTTACAATAGACTTCTCCGGAGACCAAATCCTAAACAGCCGAATAATAAAACAGCCAATTGTTCTAACGATACATACTAATCTGCCATTTTGAATTTTGAAATTTTGATATTATATTCCGATTCAGCGACCTTGAAAATCAAATTTCAGATACCAAATTTCATAGAAATCATAGAAAGGTAAATCGGTTTTTTTTAAATGTGTATCTATCATACACACTGGCGGCACGTCTTATTTCAATATGTAGCATATTTCTGTGCAAATATGCTACATATTGTATGAATAGAGCAAGATCAGATAGAAGGAAGAGTGTATTTGTTCCCATATATCGTAGTTATCGTTAGTAGTTATAAATTCATACATATAAAGATTTCAAGATTTCTTTATATAAAGTTTAATTACTTGAAGTATTTATATATTTTCCGACTACTTTCATTACATTTGGAAAAAAATATTGATCCCAGCGCTGCGTACATAAATTTTCAACTACGTTAAGGTGATATTCATATCATATTTTATAAATATTCGCTAACATATTAATGTCAAACATTTGCTATAGCTTTCAGACATCACCATCCGTATAATATTTAATATTATATCATACGCTGTGGTAAAATTCCTCCAAACGTTTACATATGCCTGGTATGGTACTGTCATCACAAATGCCGTGAGTTTTAACAATTTAATAATTTAAAAAATGATTACGTGTGCACGTATACGCACATACTCACACGTAAACTCAAAAATAATTATTTCGCGTATATACTTAGGACGAAAATTTTCGAAATGGGATATACTTTAGTGAGTGGCCTAATTTTGGTCTCAATCGTCACATGAGAACAAACATTCTTTTAATAATGATGCAAAAGCCGATGATTATTAAAGTGTTTTCCGTCTCTGTCGATGTTCTCATATTCACCAATGTAAGTATCTATAATGCAATAGCTTTCATGCCGAGAATAAGCTTACGATTTTCAAGTCCTTTTAGCTTCTCTTGTGTCATTGCTTTAAAATTATTTTCTTTTCATTATTACAAAGATAGGAGATTTCAAATTAAAAAATAACTAAACAGATAAAATTCTTAAATTAGATTCGTGCAAAAAAAGTTAATATTTTTTAAATGTAAAATAAAATTATAAATTTCAATGTGAAGAAGAAGATAAAGAATGTTAGAATTATGATTCAGGAAACTGTAAATTTATATTTTAACAGATAATGTATAACGTTTACCTTAAGTTCTTTGTATATTAATATAATTATAATCTTTTGTTTTAATTGGCAGTTTGTGAATACTACAATGTCCTATTTTTTTTATTGAAATCTATCGACGACAAAAGTGCATGAAGATATCATCTCTCACAATTCGTTTTCTATTAGTAAACTTGTAATATTATTGTAATATTAAGGAAATATACAGTTGAGGAAATGCAGTCAAAACATAAGTGATATCTTTTATTATATTAAAAATATTGTTACACATTCACTTTCATAGAATAACACTGGTATTATCTAGACTTAGAAATAAAAAATTATTAGCATGAAAATTTGTATATTTATGCATCATGTAAAAAATTTGCAATTTTATTTCTTTAAAACATATTAAAGAGTTTCTAATCTACTTAATTATTTAAGTATCGATTATAAGTTTCAGTATTATATATACACATAATATTAACTAATTATGGACACACTTATTAATTAATTCTTTCCTTTTTTTCTATGGATTATGACCATGTCTCATTTATGATTGAAATGTAATGAAAGAAATTCTTTTAATTATTATAATTATATTACTATAAAACATAATTATTAAAATAAAATAAAGCTTTAAAATTAAGCATTGACACAAAATTGTAAATAGCAAATAAATAATTTACGAACTTGAAAGGTTTCCAAAAAATCATTCATTCATAGTACATTACTAGTAGTAAATTACTTTTCATAATTTCATCCTTAATGAGATTATCATAATTCTAAAGCATTATCAAAATTTATACTGATTTAATTTATGAGAATACATATATTTATATTAATTCGTTTTAACTTTAAATGGAAAAATTAATCCAAACATTCGTTCCAAACAAGATAATATCGTAAACTTACTAGTTTACTAGTACTGACGACTATTCATTATGCCAAATTATTAAACTATTCAAAACATTATTTCTCTTTCCTCTCTTGCACGTACCTAATTGTCCTACTCCGATAATACAATCAATAACTTTCTTGAAAATATTAAATATTGAGGACTGAAATTGATAGAAAATCGAATACGAAACCCTTTTTGCCTTGACTATTGCTTGTCACACTGAAATATCAAAATATCGCAAGCATTAAATTTCTTTCCTTACTTGGACATATCCAACTGCGTTGTCTCGACTCTACCATCAGTAATATCTGCACCTTATTTTATTTTTCATCAAAAGGAATCGTGGATATATCTAGATTCATATAAGATTCCTTTTTCCTACTTTGAAAGGTAGATATATCGTGCTAGAGAAAAGACATTGCTAATCCTGATGTAACTCGCGGCGCAACGCACAGAAAAACTTGATTCAAGTTTTCTCTTTGAAATGTAATTTTTCTTATATACCTATAGTCCATCTATAATTTCAGTACACTCGTACAGCAGCCCATTCCGGCCGAAACTTCGCTAAAGGATACGTTAAACTAGAGTTGATCATTAATATTTCAAGATCTTTGAGAAACAAGATATTGCATGTACATCAGCGAATAAAGAAAACTTACGTGCTATTAACACAAATCGCAATCATTTTACAATTTTAATTTTTTAACTTCCGAGACAGAAGATAAAATTCCTTATTCTGTCATTATTTCTAATCTTGGCGTAGTGAAAGATAGACATCAAAAAGATAGACAGCTATACATAGGAATACCCAGTTTCAGTAGATTTCTAAATACGAAGTTTTCTGATAATGCAAATGCTCTTCTTGGATATTTGGACATTTAAATAATAAGATTTACAAAAACTTGTAAAAAGTGTGATAAGAAAATTTTGATATAATGTAAGCATTTTATTATTTTGTCAACATTTTTATTTAAAGTATGGTACTCTTTGAAAGTTAAACATTATTTTCGTATTTATTCAATTTCTCTAAAGATTAAAATACATTATTATATATAAACGTAAGAGTAAGTACAATCACTATATTATCATATTACTTTGCGAATTTTAATTATGAGATTTTTTTTAATTATGAGATTGAAATTCATTAGTCCAAATAAAATTGTAATTACACGTTTTAAATGATAATAATATTGATTCAATCATCGATTACAATTTCGTTATGAATACACGTACAAAATAAAAATGTCGTTTGTACGCTTTTATTATTATCATTAAAGCAGAAAAAACTCAGAGTTTGGATAGGATTAAAAAATTTTGTTCGAGTTATAGATAAAAATAAAAAAAATAAGTCAAAATATCTATACAGCTCTATATTCTAAAAAAAATTTACATTTCCCAGTTCGGAAACTTTTCATTCGACATTTCGTAAAGTTGACCGATGCTGGAATCAACATGACTGATAAACTAAACAGTTGCAAGCGTATCATAGGTACCAGCGCTTTCTTCAGGTGCTGCTCACAGGTTGCGGCTGTTGGCACGCTCCCACGAAATCTGGCAAATCAACATATTACTGGTCTGTTTGCATACTTCCGATGTTATTTGCATATGCGATGCTGAACATACGTGTCAGTTATATGTATAGACATCATTTGGCAATTATGATGAAAAATATAGGTGTATCAATAACTACAATGGGTACTCTACTGAAGGTACACACTTGGACATGAACGCGTTGACCAGAAAGATAATTCATATATATATGAGATTATATGTATTCATATTGATATAATCGGAACATTAATATTTCTGGGGAGAGTATTAATAATTATATCAATTTATATTAATATAATCGGAATATTAATATTATTGGGAGTATTAATAATTATACTTGGTTTTTGATCTTCGGACTAAAAGATTTCGATTTCCTAGCTAATTTTAAAAATTAATTCCGCTTTATATAAATTGCTACATTTATTTATTATGGACAGATTCAGCTCGATTTTTAATCAAACTAAAGAAACTTATTTAGAAATAATATGTTAAATGCTTTTTTTTTTAAACAAGTTGATCGTATGATCGCGTACGGTTCGTCCTTTAATGAATTGTTTAAACATATATATATATATATATACTCTATCTTTTGCGAAAAGGAAGATTTGGACAGTTTTTTTCTAAAAGAAAAAGAATTAATAATTTATTACGAACGCAACGAATATTACGAATTTATAAAATACAACACAGAATTATGTATAGAATTATAGTCTAAGTTACTAATTTTGCACAAAAAAACGTATGGATTTTTTATTCTCTACAAGATCATAAGCTTTTTAATCAATCGTCGTTCCCTGATCAACTACCACCGTACACTGAATGGTCTCTTCGAAGAGGAACTTGAAAAGGACGAGAAAATCCGGACAGTGATGCTCACGCCCTTGCGCGGGATATCCACCCTCGCGTACATATATGCCGGCTGTGTATTTACCCTATTTGTGATGTATCTCATGCCAACGTTCGTCGTCATCACCCGTGGTATTCTTCATTCACATTTACCTACGAACTACAGTCTACCGTACACCAAACAGGGACACGGATATTTCTGGACTGTTCCCACCGGCTTCTTACGTCATTTTCATCTGCTTTTTGAGATGTCCGCGTTAATATTACAAACTTTCACAACTATCGGCGTCGACAACGCTTTCGGATTTTACATCTACCTGCTCGCCTCGACGATGCGCGCCATGACTTTCAGACTCACGAATCCACTACCCGACGACAAGTTCTCCGACGTGCTGAGAGTGTGCGTGGCGAAGCACCAGAAGCTAATGCGATGTCGAGACACGTTGACGCGAGTTTATAGTGTGATAATCTTCTGGCACATCCTCACTAGCGCGCTACTCCTTTGTGCGCTGATATACGAGGCGATGCAAGTACGTCGATGCGAAGATTAACTTTCAATTCTGTTTACAATAGAGTTCATTGTTTTGGGACCGAATCCCAATGCCGAATGATCAGATAGACAACTGGTCCAACAAAACAAGAGAGATTTAGATTCCGTTAAGAGTGCAATTATATAAAAATTATATAAAAAGCAGAATTGGAAAAGTTACTTTTTAAAAGTAACTCGTTGCTTGTCACCGAAAAAGTAAAAAAAAAGTAACTAATTTCGTTTACTAATTACTGATTCTGAAAAGTAATTTGATATCGTTAACATTATTTAAAAAGAAACAATTCGTTTCGACTTTTTATTTTTTTTAATACTAAAACGAGATCAGATAGATTCAAAATATATAAAGTAATTGTTAAATTTATTATTGTTACTGAAAAAATATAATTACATTATCGTTACAGTTAAAAAAAAGTAACATCGTATCTAATCTATTATAAAAAAAAAAAAATAATTGTAACGATAACGGTGTTACAAGTAACGTGTTAATTCCCAACCCTGATAAAAAGTATACAGTGTAAGTAAATATTTATTATGTATTTACTTGCGTAAATTCTAGAAAATAAAAATTCGAAGTAATAAGAGAGATATTAGAGATGATTGACGAAAACGTGAATGAACCTTTCAAGAAACGTCTATGTGATGTACCGTTCTAATTTAGAATATAATTACGCTTCTGATTTTTACTTTCGCCAAGAAATCTTGATAAGAGCATAGTTGATGTAAAACTAAATAAAAAGCAGAGTTTATTGTGTATTTATTCTTATATACCATAGCTATCGGTCGCAAATTCGTACAAAGATTTCAAAATTTCTTTATATAAAGTTTAACTACTTGAAGTGTACTTGATCTATATATTGTTCAATATCTTTCATTATATTTGGAAAATATGCTAATCCCAACGCTATGTGCATAAATTTTCAATTACGTTAATGTGATATCATATTATATAAATATTCGCTAATATAATATTTTTAATCAAACATTTGTTATAGATTTCAGAGTTTACCATCCACATAATATTTAATATTGCGACATACTCTACAATAAAATTGCTTCAAATGTTTACATATGCTTGGTATGGTACGGTCATAACAAATAGCGTAAGTTTTAATGATTCAAAAAAACGATTATATGCATATATATATAGACACTCGCACTCTCTCTCCTCTCTCTATATACATATTATATATATATATATATATAGAGAGAGCATGTATATATATATATATGTATATATGTATATATATATATATGTATATATATATATGTATAGAGCTATGTATATATATATATA